CCAAACTTAACTACTAATAGTCTACAGTTGACCGGAAATCTTACTGATAACATAAACAGTTGATTAACAAAAATTTTGTATGTTGTATGTGCTATATACCAAAATACTACAATAAAGTAAGCTAGAGAAAAGAAAATGTTATTAAAAAAATCATAAGGAAGAGAAAATACACTGACAGTACTGTACTGTATTTATCAATACCGTAAGTTTATGTCCTTTGTTTTCAAGGTGAATTGTCTGTCAGTATCTACATCCATATTGTCATATACGATAAAGGAGATGTTATATGTATTACCAACATTAGACATCAAAAATGAAAATATAATGTTAAAAAGAAATTCATATTTATTTATGATTTTTTCCAATAAAAAAATCCATGTGAGTATAAGTAAGTGGACCTATGCAGTTCAAACCCATGTTGTTCAAGGGTCAACTGTGCATGAGAAGATGGATGCTAGCTGAAACTATTGTGGTAATCATTTCACAAGATATGTAAATCAAACCGTCATGCTGAATGCCTTAAACATATACAGTAACGTATGTCAATTATTTCTCAACAAAATTGGGGAAAAAAGTTATGGTAGAGGCCCAAAGTCTAAATAGATATGGATTAAAAATTCTGTGTGTGCGTGTTTTCTTAATCTTGAGATAGATTTTTCATCCTCCTCCTCTAAGCAGCCACTGTATCTAATACTGAAGCTAGGAAATGAAGTTGAATGATAAACAGAACCATTTCTCGAAAGAAAGCCTCCACCAGTCGTCGTTTTTCTATAGGCACTTCAGCATTTGTATTCACTTTGAAGATCGAACCTTAACCCTAACATCTGCCGCCTTTCATTTTATTTCTGGCCTTTTCTGCTGTCCCCGTGCTCCATGACCGGGCCCCTCCTCCCTGGCAGGCCTACCCAGCTTACCTTACACCCCCTGCTAATGCTCACCCAGGGCTGGGACTAAATTCTGTTCCAAGAGCTCAGGAACGTCTTTACTGGCAGCACTAAGCCCTTGCAGGCCTGGATTCAACGGTCTTCTGAAATGCAATATTCAGGGCTGGCCCAGTGCTCCTACACTGTTCCTTCATGATCTCCAAAGAACAAGGAAAATAATTTTACAATGAAAACCTTGGCATAACAGAGCTCTTAAGAATTTGGGAGTGGCACACCTGTCTACCCTTAGCTTCCACTAACTGCAGAAAGTGACTCTCTGCTCCAGTCAAACCGGGTTGTACAACCAAGACTTCCCCACTTTTAGGCTCTGGCTGCCTAGTGGATGTGTGCTTCTTGGGTCACATCACGGACCGCGGCCTTACTCTAGTATTTAGTTCTTCGTTTGCTATGAAGGCCTCATCTCTACAACTACACTGTAAGCTGCTCGAGGGAAGGATTCGGTCTTCTGTGTCTTTGGACTCCTAATAGTGCTTAGAGAGCACCCAAGGGGGTGCTCATATTTTCGTTGCTTTTATTGGCAGAGTCTACATTACAAATCACGAATGGTCACAAAATCAAGACTGGACCCACAGATATCCTGGAAATAGTGTCTGACTCTACACAGCACATTTACTCAGACATGAGGAGTTTGCCCAGGAATGATAATAACAAGAGCCAACACTCAATGTGTGCTTGTTACATGCCTGGCACTCGTGTGAGTGCTTTACCTATATGCACGTGATAACCCTATGAAGTAACTACAATTACTATCCTCATTTTACAGATGAGGAAACAGAGGCACAGAGAGGTTGGGTATTTGCTCAAATTGGTAAATAGCAGAACTGGAGTTTGAACCCAGGCAGTCTGGCTCCACAGTCAGGGCATAAGCCTGACACTATACCGTCTCTCTACACGTGGCCAAAGGGACTTGGAGGGGGTGAGCTGGGAATACTCAGGAACCAGAAAAAGAGCTACTAAAATGTCCACCACTTTTGCTGTTCATGTGCAATGCTTATTTGAGCAAGTATGTGGTGAAAGAGAAGCATTTCAGCAATTAAATAGGTTCTCCGGTTTCTTGTGGTTTCAGGTTGTTGATTTTAAAATGCAATTTAAAATAGATTCACAAAGCGATTAGCTCAGAAAATGACCGAGTCACTTTTTCTCTCTCATTAGATTTCTATTTATATATCTAATCAGAAATTTTCCTTAAGTCTAATGATACTATTACAGAGACAAATTATTTATAATTTGTCATGATACAACCACCTTCACCTGGTTAGAACATGATAAATCATTAACATCAGTGGCAAAAGTCTTGACTTCACTGCAACTAGAGATAAAAATGTTAGTTGTAATGAACACACTACTATATATAAAATAGACAGCCAACAAGGACCTACTGTATAGCACAGGGAACTCTACCCATTATTTTGTAATAACCTGTAAGGGAAAAGAATCTGAAAAAGATTCTGAATCACTGTGCTGTACACCTGAAACTACCATGACGTTGTAAATCAACTATACTTCAATAAAAAAAAAATGTTAGTTGTAGCAGAAACTATGACGCAGGGCAAATACTATATGCATCGAATATAAACACATGCTACCGTATAGGTCCCAGGCTGGGTACAGGCCCAATCTGTTAATAAAATGAAGTTTTAATTGATTGTTTTTGTGAGTTCCATTGTATAAAGTCAATAGGAAAGAGAAGCAGAACTGCAGATGACCGAAAAACACACTGGCACCGAGGCTGTACAAGATCTGGAAGGGAATCTAGAAAACTGACAACAGTGAAATAATAGCTGCCCTTTGTTTTCTTATTGCTTTTATTTCTGTCATAAATAAACATTGTGTTAAAAAGAAAACACACATTGTTTATGCCTCAGTAAACACAGTGGTACTCAGAGAATTCAGATTTTATTGAATAGCGTGTTGTTAATTAATCTTCTGAATTGTTGAGGTGTTTCCTATGAAGTAGCCCCCATCTTCTCCCTGGTCCTGCCCTGCGCGCCATTCCTAGGTATCGTATTCAATTTGCCACATAATACTACATGTGGCATTACTGAGAGACACAGAGAGAGCGATCAGTTTCATGAACAGCATGATGGTACACACGTGGTTAATCCCTGGGACCCAGACCACTTAAGAAAATACCTAGGTGATAGGCAATGCACAAAAATCAAGTCTGCTTGGAACTCCTGGTAGGGGAGCACTGCTGTCTATACACCCTTCAGCAAGAAGGACCATGCCATCCTCTACCAGTGATAAGAAGGTGCGTACACAGAGTGGGTGAGGGTGAAGTGTGACAGGGGCCCAGCCACATCAGCCGAATTAACCCCCCCAAATCAATGGAGGGACAGTTGTCACAGGCAGGTACCTCTCTTGCTTACATCTTGGGATAACATAGGCCAGGCCGTTGATTTTATTTTGTTTAATTTTAATTCATTAATTAATTTGGAGGGAGGGCAAATTGAGGAAATAATTTCTTTCCTTGGTAATACAGAACCTTGAGGTCTTGAGGGTACCATAGAGATGAATAATTCAAAATCCCCTTTGAGTAGAAAGCTCTCTATTGCTAAAGGTGGGTGAACTTTTCTTTAATTTTGTTAAACTGCTTAATTTGAAATAATTTTAAATTTAGTAATAAGTTGCAAAGATTGCACAGACATTTCCATTTTACCCTTCATCCAGCATCCCTTGATGTTAACACCTTATGTAATTATGCTACATTTATTAAAACTAAGAAATTAACATCAGTGCAGTGCTACTAACTAAACCACCGACTTTATTTGGATTTCATCAGTTTTTCTGATAATGTCCTTTTTCTGTTCCGAGATGGATTTCTGAATAATGAAGTATGGTAGGTGGTGTGCAAAAATCTCAAGCTTCCCCAACATAGGATCAATATGAAGCATTTGTATATGTACAAAGTGGCAAGTGTTATGATGATTAACAGTAGAACAAAGACATAAGGAAATTACAAGGCAAATTTCCCTGAAGTCTCCCAGTAGTTATTTGTGTCTGAAGGTGGTTTTGTATTTTTTGACATCGTATTTTTCTAATTTCACTAAAGGAAAGCTAACCAAATTTGTGGATTTTATTTTTTGCTTCAGCCTCCAAATGCTTTAGGGCTAATTCAGGCCTGGTTCAGTGGCAAACAACTGTCTCAGAGGCCTCACGCATGTCTAAATAGCTTCTCTCCTGTTTATTTTGCACTGTTTTATCCTATAAGCTGTCTCAAGGCCCTTCCAAGATAAGCAGGAGGATTTAAATCTTAATAAATTGAAATTTGAATAACGGAGGCAATCTAGGTTCGGGAGTCTTGAATGATTAGGATAAACATTCTATTTTCCACTCCCACATTATGCATGTGCTGTCCATGTTGCCCTGAGATCAGCATCAGTAATAATTAAAATAGTAACAACAGCAATAAGACTATTAGATGTAAATAGCACTTTTCAGTTTATAAGGACGTTTATTCACAGTTATTATTTCTATTCTTGGAATAGTTCTAAAAGGTAGGAAGAATGCCACTTTACAGATGAAGAAACAGAGTCACTAAAAGATGAAGACATGCTCAAAACAATAGGGACAAAGGGCGGCCCCAGGACCAGAACTCTGTGCTTTCTAAAAACCTTGCCATGATTTGGCCAGATGTGTCAACATCTGTGAGCCAGCAAGAAGACTTTCAATCACATTCCCATTAAACTTCTTGGAAACGCCTTCTTATAAAGCTTATAACAGGGACCTTACAGAAGTCTAGAGTCATCTCTCTTTTGAAAAAAGATAACCCAAGAGATTTTTTCATCAGTTCAATCAATTCTGGGATTGGAAGTGACAAACAAGCCATGCTCGAATACTATTCTCCAGCCTCTCATTATTGTGATGGGAGGCATAAAAATATATATAACTTCCTTGATTGTAATGAACACCCAAATATTTATTCTGTCCTGTCGTTTCTCGTCACTCAAAATGCCAAGGAGTTGAATTTTTAGGCATAGTAGAAGTAAAGAATAGAAGTCACAAAGATACATCCTAACGTTAATAGAAACAACAACAACAATTAAAAAGGCTTACCTTGCAGCCTTCACATGTAATGACACCATAATGGATTCCTGATGATTTGTCTCCACAGATCTTGCATGGAATAATTTCAATTTGAGCTGCAACAGAAGCACGCAACCAGTTAATTACATTTTATTTTAAACACCTTATAAAAGCGTTCCCTGATCAGCATTTGTATAGTGAAAACTAATAACCTGCTAAACATTATACTCCATTAACTATTCATTGCTGAACTGTGAGGGTCCCCCTAGAGCCCTGGACTAAATTATGGCTGCTCGTTATATAATAGCTTTCGGGTTATTAAAATGGGTCATTTGAGGAGGTGTTTAAGAACCCACAAGAAGACTGGAATCAGCATTTCAAAGCCTTCAAGAACTGGAGAGTTCACAGTTTAGGCCTCAGAGCAAAGCAGATACTAAAATGTTTCCTCCGATCTCATTTTCCATCATTATTTTTAAAAGGTCATAAACCTGTCTTGGCTGAGCATTGTAGCTTGGCTGGTGGAGAAAAATAGACTCCAAAAAGCCAAAACTACTTAGGAAAATGATTCAACTCTAAATATTAATAAGTTACATATGATGGTAAGAATTCCTTACTCATCTTTTTTTAATTAATGTACCTGCCATGTGTTAAAAATTAGTCGACTTGTGAACAATCAAAACCTTTCAACCATAAAGTTCATACCCTATTTGAATTTAAAAATGATGAATCCGGACAAATAGAATATGTAGCTTCAGAGTTCTTTACATTGGAAATTGATTTTCTGGTACAGCGTGCGTGTGTTTCTATCTAACTGATTATTTACAGTTGCCTCATACTGGAAGAATAACCAAATAATTCATACATATTACATCAAAGTTCTCAAATATGTTAAAGCACGTTTCTAAGAAAACACATTATATCTTGAGCAGAGTTGGAAAGAGTATAATTAAGGATTAAAAAACCCCCTAAGGAATAGAATAATTAGGCAAAACAAAGTACTTGGACCACCTATTAAATACAATTTATATGCGAAATAAAGAACCAACACTGAGCTGCATATACAGGATGACAAGTTTCACCCGTTTACCTGGAATGCTCCATTACACTAAATTTATTTTCCATGGTTATCACTACTGGATATCATGTCAGATTACCTACTAAGTCACACACACAAAGGCAGTTGCAAGTGCCCAAGTATACTTCATTTTCATAAAGCCCCTACCTAGTGCCATGCCTCACACAAAGCAATGACTAGTCTAACAAACGTATCGCACGATGTAAGTAACACACATACACAGAGCCCACCCTTTCTTCCAATGTGATCTCATATCCTGGGGTAATTTCCACAGCCACCTACTCTGGATTTGATACAATATTGTATTCAATACTTCAAAAGAGGACACATTAAATTACTGGACTTAACCTCATTATAAACCATGTGTCCCTGCTAACTTCCTTTCAAGGGGACCACAAGTACTGCAGTGCCTTTAGTGAGTCCTTTGCCTACCAGTCACTTTTAGTGTTGACATCCTGAGTTTCACTATCCAGAGTTAGAGACTGTTCAAAATCTCACCTCCAATAAATGTGCCATAATCCTCAAGCCTTCTAATACCCCAATAGTGGCATCTTTGTACACTATCTAAATGTCTATTCTGAGTTATGCAACTTAATATGTTACAAGATCACGCTTAACAAAAACCGTCATCTTCAAGTCGGCCTCCTCATCTTAGAGACTAGCTTGATTTCTTCAAGGAAAATTCTTTATGAAATCTAAACTCTAATAATGTTTCCACACTTAGGCTCCTCCAATATATATACATTTTTTGCGGTATGCGGGCCTCTCACTGTTGTGGCCTCTCCCATTGCGGAGCACAGGCTCCGGACGCGCAGGCTCAGCGGCCGTGGCTCACGGGCCCAGGCGCTCCGCGGCATGTGGGATCGTCCCCGACCAGGGCACGAACCCATGTTCCCTGCCTCCGCAGGCAAACTCTCAACCACTGCGCCACCAGGGAAGCCCTCCTCCAATATTTTAAATACATAGTTAAGGCAAAGTTTTGTGCCACAGATTGTCTGCAGCTCTCCAGAGAGATGGTTGTTCCCCACATTTTTCAGAGACTCATAAAAGCCAAGTGGTAGTAAAGAAATTCTGAAAGGTGATATCAGCTGAAACCTCTAACCCTAACCCTAACCCCAACCCCAACCCCTAAGGAAGAGAAGAATTAGACAACACAAAGTACTTGGACCACCTATTAAATAAAACTCATACAAGAAATAAAGAAGACAGACACTGAGCTTCTTCTGCTTATGTCTCACCTCAAGTTGTAGTCACAGAAATTAGACAAACCTCATTAGGCCCTATAGTTTAAGTCAGCATCAAAACTAAAAGCAACACTAACACTAAACTCGGGCCTCTCAAGAGTTATTTTCATTCCATCTTAGCAGTGGAGAGATTAAGCAAATCTATTTAGTCCTTTATAAGATAGGAAAGCTCTGGGCAGGCCAGACAGGGAACACTGAGTAAAACTGTATGTATCTGGATCAAATGGAAAATGGTGTATTGCTGTTCACTCTGCCTGGACTCCTAGTGGATGACCCGTGAGAAGTGACATCATGATCTTTAAGGCAGTGACCAAAACGCCTACTAAAGGCTCCTGTAACATTGCAAGTGATCTGGAGGTCTGGCAGGGAGGGGTCTGATCATGATGGGGGTGCCCCTGGGATTGACATCCTGGCCCAGCACTTCCACCCTTGGAATGGCTCTCAGCTGGCTGGGGAGAGGGTGGGAGTGAGGGTTGGGAAAGTCACTGTAGTATAAATCCAGAGTTTGGTGCCACTACTTCATAGGACCACTGGCCTGAGTCAGGCTCCTAAACTCTTGGTCTTCAGCCTTCCTTCAGCTCTCAGGGTCTTTCAGATCTGCAGGGCACTCAAGCTGAGGCATATTTTACGAGACTTCGTGGAGGCCAAGATGCTTAGTATGAATGGACTCACTGTAGACTGACCTGCATTTTCAAGCGAGGGGCCATTTGCCTAGAACTTTGCCCCCTGCCGCACTGTGTGTGTGCTTGGCTCCAGTGGGCAATGCTGGCCAAAGACTCCAAATTAGTTAGAACAAGCTTCCCTAGGGATCTCATGGTGAGGTGATGGGAGGGTTCTCCAAAGCCAGGTTCCGATATTCTGATTGGCTGGATTAAACTATTCTACTAGCCTACCCCCTTGGGTGGCTCTCTTATCTCAGAAGACAATTTCAGGTGCAAGTGCTCTTTAGGAAATGACTAAAATCCACTTGCTCTAAAAAGCAAATTCTCTGAAAGTGATCTATCACATGTGTTGATCTTTCCAGAAAGTAAACATTTGCTGATCGGAGCAGGGCACTTACTCAATCTTCCATTTCATCCAACAACGCACAAAATCCACCTCCCTTCACCTTTTAGTCAATTTACAGAATTCAAATGTATCAAGGAGAAGAAAAATAGTCAATGCCTTACAAATTTTTAAAAAGGAAAGCAGTTTAGTTTCACAAATTTGAGTTTTCAGACCAGTAAGAGGGAACAGGACAAAAATCCGCTTGCCCTTTGCTTTCTATCCCTCAGGCTTTTCCATTTTCTGACAGGCAGTATTGTGTCTTTTCAAAATAATCTTCTTGTAACAAAAATTATGAGTCTTGGCCCATATATATACTGCACACATTGACTCAGCCAGTATTTCAAAGGATGAAATCTGTCAGACACCACAACTGTCACAAGTATATTGATTAAATTAGTCCACATCCATATTCATTGCAGCAAAGAGGTTTATTTTGTAGCGGAATATCTGAAGCAAGATGCACGCACACATATAATCATGAATTGGCTTAACAATGAACAATCTCGCTATGAAAAATTCTAATTTGCCTATATTTTCAGCTCTATTGCCTAAATAATTTGCTCTTTCATGCACCCTAAGTAATTCAAACAGGCTCTCCACACCTGCACAGGCAAATTTCTGCAGTTTCAAGGAGCTGACAACAAGTGGCGGCGGGGCATCAGGAAATCCTGGAAAGCAGGTGTGCTAATTAGCCAAGTGGTCCTTAGGCTGCGTGGGCATTTACCGTTGTACCTCTGTAAAAAAGTTTGCTTTTTACTTTTCATTATAAAAGGTAACGAGACACTGGCGTTCTTAACACCTCACTTGCTCCTCAGGACCTATTTCTGGATTTATCGTGGTCCAGAGAAAAATGCCCATTCTGCCCAAGTATTAAAAAATATAATTGCACAAGAGTTGTACCCATCACTTCATTCTGTGGGTGAACAGTGATGTCTCGATGATAGTCTAAATAGACTGATAATAACACTGAACACGTATTTGGGCTCATAAAGTCTCAGGCATTATCTAATTTGCTGCTCCAACAGCTCTGTGAGGTATAGGTGGTATTATTATCATTATCATCATTATCTGCATTTGTTTCAGATGAGAAAACTGAAGCTCAGAAAGGCTAACTACTTGCCCAAAGTCAGAGAGCTTGGAAGAAGGAAGGCTGGAACTTGGACACATTTTGGTCTTTTTCTCTTAACTCAAAAGCTTATTCCCTCTCCACCCTACCCCCCTTCTCATCATACTGAATAGCCGAGCTAAATCACTCCAATACAAATATTGGGAAGATACTGGTCTTGGTAGGAAACCATTACCGAAGGATCAAAAGACATCTCACAAGTAATCTGGTTAAACTTAATAGTACTCAGAACTGATGTCAAGATGTCTTTCTGGGAGTTACTTGACTAGTTTATAACTGGAAATAATCATCAACCTTCTAAGACCATTCTTCTCAATTTTATAAAATTCCGAGTTTTTGACCTTAGGCTGACCAATACCAATGTTTAACAATTCTTAAGGCTGGGAAAATTACTTCACCTACCTCTCTGAGTCTCAGTTTTCTATTTGAAGATTCAATGATATGATGTATAAATGACACAGCACATATGATTATTTTATACATGTATTCTATATATATGCACATCACACACAATCCTTAGAAAGAGTTGGCACTCAAAACACAGTTATTATTATTGTTATTGTTGATAAGAAATCCTGCCTTATAGCGAAATGAAATTCTTTTCTGCAGACTTTAAGCTCTTTC